ACAGTAGCTAAAAAGTGGACTTCCTCCAAAAAACACTCGCGGCAAATATTTTATTTTGGTAAACGGGGTGAGGGTGGGAAAGGTCTGCCCCAACTAAACAAGGTGATAATTTAATTAAATTAATAAACTTAATAAAAGCGAATTATAAAAATATTAATGAATAATTTAATTTGAAATTTGATAAAAATAACATTTAAATATATTTTATTGTTTTAATTAATTCACATTTAAGTTAATACTGTTTTATAAATATACATTATATATTAACATATCAGATTTACATTATACAGGGGGGGCTAAAAAACCCCTTCCGTCTTTTTAACCGCTTCCTATCAATTTAATAGTTATTAATAATATTAATATAATAAAATTTATAGTACTGTTTACCATGAAGGCTGAATATGCCTCGTGGAGACTTTTTCTGTCCGAGGTGGTAATTAGTATCATACTTTTTATTATAATGTTATTATTTATAACTATTAAATCGATAGGAAGCGGTTAAAAAGACGGAAGCGGTTTTTTATCCTCCCTGTACTATGATAAAAAACCAAACTATCAAGAAGAATAATATTTTTTTTAAAAAAAATATTTAAAAACAAAACTTAAGTCTGTTTATGCAATAAATGCATAACCTTTCATGTATCTTTTAAAAAAATATCACAAATCACAAACAAATGGAAAAATGAGAGTAAATATATTCAAAAATGTGTAAAATACTTGATTTCAGTTTAAGCAAATGTGATAAAGAAATATTATGATTATTTATTAGTGTATTATAATTTAAAATAAACCACACTATTTTATCAATCAGACTTTTATCCACCAACACTGTTACAATACAAACTTTGTTTATTTTTATTGGTTTATAAAAACTAATAACTAAATTATTTTCGATGAACTACTGTGTTTGTTTGGAAACAATAATTACCAATGAATATCACATTTGATGATATTGTTATACCAGTCGAATTACTACACTCATGAAAACATTGTTTAATAATTGATGTAACACTTGATGACATTAAAAGGTAACTTAAAGTACTACATCCACAAATAACAATGATCACCAATTGATGTCACTGAATAAAATTTATCAACAATTATTTTTTTATAGTTTTAAGTGTAAATTATATTTTTAACTTGATGTTTCGACCATTGTTTTTGTCAACAGTTTCAAAATTAACATTGAACTACACAATAATACTAAAAATTCTTTCAAAAATTTATCTTCATTTTTGCGTTGAAAAGTAAATTATTGTAAAAGTTTTCATCCAACATCATAATCAAAATTTTTATTCATTTATAGATTGTTTGAAAAATCAAAGAGACAAATAGCCACAAATCGAGTTTAAGATGAAAATTATAATTCTGCTCAAAAAATACCCACATACCATAAATGTAGTGTCTACATGTAAAAATCAAGTTCATTGATATCGTTTTTTAATTTATGATTTTATGCAAGTTAATATTAATTTAGCAACATTTTGTCTTTTAATTTAAATACCAACGAATTACTTTTAATGTTTTTCTTATTTAAAATTAATTAAAAAAACCAAATTTTGTCTAATTATATATAAAAATATTCAGTTCAAAATAAAAGATCACAACAAAGATATTTCATTATAAAAACAAATTATAGATGAAACTAAACATATAATGGCAATCAAATTGGAAATAGTCTTCTTGATGAAGGTTGCTTTAAACTTTTTTAGTCGTCAAACTTTGTACAGCTTTATACAAGTTTCCAAAGTATGTTTATCTGCTTTATGTTCATTGAAAGTCAATCCCGTTTTCATGACCGAGTCTTCTGTTATTTGGTTTTACAAACACTTTACACCTGAAACTATTGATTTTGGATATTATGAGTTTACTTCTACTGATCTTTTCACGCTTCCAAAACAACTTTACAACGTCGATTTCACTTGTGCATTTAAAAATGGATTGTGGACGACCGAATTTGTTCGAAAAATATTTCCCAAAGTAGTTCGATTGTCTTTGTTATTTCCAAACCCCGATGACGATGAATATATATTAACTTTGGAGTGCATAAAATTTATAACACATCACACTAAATATTTGACAGCTTTAAAGTACTTGTACATAGACTTTGAATCGTTTATTGACTTCATTGCTGATTACACGGAAAATAAAAAGGAGAAGTACTTGAACCTGCCAGAGACAATTGTCATTAACATGAGTGGAGGTAAACCAATTGAGTTAAACACTGTTTTTATCGACAAATTAAATTTGTTAGAACAAACACTTCTTGACAACGAAAAAAGCACTGTTTATATAACAATCAGTCATCACCCAAAAGACAAGGAAGTGCTTAAATTATTTAAGAAAACAACTTATTATTATGCTACTTGTGTCTCAAATATGTGCGAGACACTGAGCGACCGAATTCTATGTGATAAAGGAAGTGTCTGTATTGAAGGTTTTGTTGCGACTTCAATTATTAACAAAATCATTGAAAACACATACTCCACAAGTGTCGTTTATATACATACAAATAAAATTATGAAAACGACTTGGGTGCTTCCAAAAAGTGTTTCACAATTAACTTTGCTTTCCAAAAATGAAGAAGAAGCTAAAATCAATTTAAAAACGCAAGTTCTCAATATCAACTTTTCGTGCATTAAAACACTAAATATTCTTTCACTTGTTAAAGTCAAATTTGACAACCAATTTCCGTGTTTAAAAAGCCTTTCAATAACAAATGCAGTTAAAATTATATTCACTGAAAAATGCGAAATGGCTGCACTTGTTGAAATCGAGTTGTGGAATGTCAATGATACTTATTTTAGTTGTAACCTCGACAATTTAAAAACACTATTTATTTATCAAGGAAATCGATTAACGTTTTCTAAGAAACTAAACAGTCTGAAAACGATTACCGTCGTTGAATCAAATAATGTCTCATTACCAAAAATCGATTTTAATAATAAAGTAGTCCATTTAAGCAATTCTAAAGCTATAATTTTTAACGGAATTAATTCGTCTATTTACCTTCGTAAATATTCCGATAAAACATATATTGAAACCAGTATTGAAAAAATTTTTGAATTTCCAATCCAAATAAAAGAAAAGGGTCAGTGGAAAATGTCCAAATTTGTTTCAATGAGTCCGCGTGTGGAAGTCGTTGGCAATAAAATAAAAAGGAAAAAAGAAGTTGAAAAAGATATGTACGATATGGTTGTTTCATATGGATTTTTAAATGGAAACAACTGCAAATGTGAAATGCAATTTATTGATAAAAACGATGTTATTAAAACTATTGCTAATGTCAGATATTTTGAAATTGAATTGACTCGGAACAGTTATATTGCCGTTGGTATAATGAACGTGTTTGAACACATTGTATATCAAAATGTAATGTTAGGGTGGCAACAAATGAGTTGTGGATATCATAGCGATGATGAAACCATATACAACAACGGCGATCTTGATGGATATGATAGTAAAATACGATCCGGCAAAAAGACGGGAGAAACAGACGTTGTTGGTGTCGGCATTGTTTTTAATATAAAGAAAATGGCGTCTAAATTCTTTTTCACTTGTAATGGAAATTATGTGGTTTCACGTGAATTTAATGCAAACAGTGTTGCTACCGCCATTTCAATGAACGTATTCAGCAAGATAGTTATAAACTATGGAGAAAAGCCATTCGAATTTGATTTAAATACATTGACAAACAAAGTTGTAGTATAATAGTAACATTAGAATATTACACATAAGGTATTTACTTAACACTTAAAATAACGCCATTGTTTTTGTTTTGGCCTGTTTTTCCAGGGATATTAATCAAATTTTTGATGATTTTCCTTTTTTGGCTTGTGTAATGTTATGCACATAATATAAACTCTAAAAAACGGAAATTTATTTAATAAACTCGAAATTTCCCGATTTTTAGACCACTTGAATTTTGTTCAATGTTATTTAAAGTGTTAAGTCTTTTTTCTTCTTTAATTATTTTCAAACTTTCAATTTGTTGTTTGTATATGACGGACACAAAGTGTAATGTATAAGAATTTTAGACTTGTTTTTCGGCTAAAATTATAAATGTTTATTGAAATAATAAATCATCATTGTAAAGTGAAACAGATAATGTGCTAAAGATATTTGTATTTCTTGTTTTTATAATTTATTACAATATGTTTTTTCTTCAGTTGTTTTTGGTTTATCCCACATAAACCCTCTTTAAAAATACAATGTTTTACAATCCTTAAATAAAGCATTTTATCACAACAACATTACTAAAAATAATCTTTTTTTACTCATATTAAACATTATAAAAGTTATTATAAAATATAAAAATATTTTACTCATCTTCAAAATCAAAATTGACTGTACCTTTTCATCACGATATAAAATGAAAGGATGTTGGGGATGTGCAATTTATTATGAATAAGTTGAAAAAATGTCCAAATCAAACAAGCAACAATTACAATTATCAAGTTTGTATATTTATAAAGTTGAAAGCCAATAATTAATCATAAGGCATTTATTGATAAACAACGTGTAATATGACATTATATTACAAATATGACATTCCTTTATAAAAGCTGTTATTGTGTTTAAATTAACAAACGTTTTGTGCTGATTATTGATTTTACTGTCTATATCTTTTACTGTTGAAAGGTTCACCAAAAACATAAATATACCTTCTTTAACCTTACGAAGTGAAAACTGGAGAATTTATATCCTTGATTTTTTTACTTAAAATAACTCACTTTTTTTTATTTTTGTATTTGAACTAAAAAGATCTTAAATTAAGAACTGCGTGTCACAAACCAATTTAAATAATGAAAAATTGATAAAAATCGAAGCGCTCTCATGAAAATTTATGTTTATTTTTCGTAACAGCAAGTATTGACTATTTTGAACACATTGAAAATAGAAAACATGCGTCTGTAAAGACCAGTAGTTTGAGCGAAAACTAATCGATTTCGTGTTTTGAATTTATTTTTAATTGTTTTAAAAATAAAATATGATCTAGATAAATCTTATCCAGATTTCACCTTCCCACAAAAAAAGTTGATTCAGTTGACTTGCTAAGGTTGATAAGTCTTTTTCACATACAGAATTATAATTTTTGTCAAAAGTTGAAAATATTAACATTATTACCATTTTTAATTCCTTATATAATATTATAAAACAAATTAATTAAATTGTTTCATTTAATTACTGACTTATACTAAACACCAAAAATTATTGACAAATTAGATTTTTTGTTTTTAATAACATTATTTTCATTACAACCACTTTTTTATGACAATTAATAATTTTCTATTTGTACAACAAGTTTGATTTTTAAAAAGATTAATAATACCATTTAAACCTTTTTAATAACAATGATTTATATAACATAATTTAATTTAAAAATACAATAACAATACACTCGAATGTGCTTATAATATAAAATTCTAATTGCAAAACTGGCTTTTTGTATGAATGGTCAATTATAAATATGTGTAACAATAAGATGAATTATTTTTTATTGTAAAACAATTTTGAATATTAAAACAAACTTTATACAAAATTCTTTCTTTCACGACAAATAGATACGTTTTTCTGCTGATATTCTGACAAATAGACGTTTTTGACCGTATTTATTGTCATACATAAAAAATAATCTGGTTAGTTATATATACTATAACCCGATTTATAACCATTATCGTTTTTATTATATTATTAACAATCGCTAAATAAAAAGAATCTCCAATTATGTATCAATCTTAAAGTATATGTTATATTTTCATGTTTTTATTGAAAATTTTATTATCCCAATTATAAATAATAAATTATTGTTTATAAAACAAAACAACCACAATGAATTAATTAATTTATATATATTCAATACAATTATAAACATTTCAATTTAATTACTTATTATAATTTAAAATAATTCATTAAACTTAAATTAAAATGACTAGATGTTGTCATGTATCGTTTATTTTCTTTGTATTTTTTAATGTCGTATTTTCTGCAAACATTATTTGTGAAGTGGGGTATTATGTTTCGGATTCCAGTTGTTTTTCGTGTAAAGCTGGATATTACTGTCCAGATGGAATTAATAAGTATCCTTGCCAAAAAGGTTATTACTCGAACAATCGGGCCGTAAGCTGTACGCTATGCTCCGATGGACAATACGCACCAAAAACCAATTCTTCGAATTGTATCACTTGCGAAGCCGGGACGTATTCTAATGGGGACAAAAAAGAATTTTGCACCAAATGCTCTGCTGGTACTTATTCGTATTTGGGGTCATCCAAATGTAGTAATTGTATTGCTGGAACTTATTCCTCATTGGGAGCTTCAATTTGTACAACATGTTTAAGTGGTTATTATTCATTGGATGGTGCTTCTGTGTGTTTGCCATGTATTAATACCACATGTGCTTCGTGTAATCCATTAAATGGGAAGTGAACTTTATGTTCAGTTGGAAGTGGCTTTATTTCTGATGGAATTTGTGAAAAATGTAAAGCAGGTTATTATTCAGCTGGTGGTACTATTTCGTGTACAAAATGTGGTGTTTATCAATATTCTTTAATTGGAAGTGGTTCTTGTACTCAATGCAATTCGACTTGCAAAACATGTGATAACACAAATGGAAACTGTTCGACATGTTACACAAATTCTTATGTTTCAAATGGTGTTTGTATGAGTTGTCCCGCTGGTCATTATTTCTACTTAAATGAATGCTTAGATTGCCCAGACAATACTTATTCTTCAGCCAACAGTTCTACTTGTTTAAATTGTATTTCATGTGTTGCTTGTGACAGAACAAATGGGCATTGCACTTTGTGTGGTAAGGGGCAGTATATAAATAACACCATTTGCTCCAATTGTCCTTCTGGTACGAATGGAGATGGCACCCAATGTATTCCTTGCCAAACAGGAACATATTCAAGTTCTTCTGGAAGTGATAGTTGTACAAATTGTAGTGAGGGTTATTATTCAGATACAATTTTTTCAACTACATGTAAAAAATGCAGCAATTATTGCAAATCATGTGAAATAAAAAATGGGTTCTGCTCTTTATGTGTGGCTGGGTGTGTTTTATCTGGAAATTACTGTTATCCATGTGAGGCTGGAACACTGGCAATTCAACTTACAAACAAATGTAATGTCTGTCCAGCAGGAACTTATTCATTTATGCAATCAACAACTTGTTCAATGTGCCAAACAAATACATATTCACATGAAGGATCATCTCAGTGTTTACAATGCAATGAAAATTGTCAGACATGTGACAAAACAAATGGAAACTGCATTACTTGTATTTCTGGGTATGGATTAGACAAGAAGTTTAATTGTAGCATCTGTCCAACCGGAACTTATGCAAATTCAACAAACAATAAATGCCAACAATGTGACATTAATACGTACCAATCAAAAGAAGGACAAACATTTTGCAATACATGTGATATCAATTGTGAAACATGTGATATTATAAGTGGTAAATGCTTAACGTGTTACGCTGGATATGGATTTGGTCATAATGGAAATTGTGAAATTTGTGGTGATAATAATTATTCACTTGGTGGAACTTTATCATGTTTAGCCTGTCCAAGTGAGTGTACAAACTGTTGTAGAGAGAGTGGGGAGTGCACATCATGTCGGTCTGGGTTTAAGCAAATAATAAACCAAACCACCGGAAATGAAGAGTGTGTCTCATGTTCATTAAATAATAATTGTTCTTCATGTGATTTGAATGTAAATGAAACTGAGAGAAACTGTATTGAGTGTGTAAGTGGGTATTACTTGGAAGATAACAAGTGCAAAGAGTGTTCACAAATAACAAATTGTGTACAGTGCTCATTTAAAAACAAAGATTGTTTGGCATGTTCAAATGACTTAGTTACAACTGGTGATGGGTGTATTTCATGTGAAGAAGGCAAAGTGAAAGTCACTTCCAATATGTGTATAAATTGTTTTGAATTGATTCAAAATTGCCAACTATGTAAATATAACAACGGGATACAAACATGTTCAAAATGTTTTGCGCCGTATGTTATAAATGATATGACATCTGAGTGTGTTTTTGCATATTCAAACACAACACATTATAATTATGAAGAATCGAAAGAAGATGTTAATGATGTTGGCTGTCTGCATCAAGTAAATTCCTCGTGTTTTATGTGTGATGAAGATCACATTTTAGTCAATAAAGAATGCATTGAAAAACAAGATGAAAATTGCTTTGATTATTCAATGAAAACATGTGATAACTGTACCAAGAACATTATTACAACAAACGGAAATTGTTTAATTGAAAACGTGTGCAAATACCAACTTAGTCAATACAACCAGACTATTTGTATGATATACAATAATGACACGCAAGAAGGCATCAAAGTTGACAATTGCAGATATACACAAAACGAGTTTTGTTATTTGGCGGATGATGGATATTACACAACATTAAAAAACAATGGATTAACTGCAAATTGTGACAATGCAAAGATTTGTCAAAATGTTAATAATAATACAGTCGACATATCATGTAAAAGTGACTTTGTAATAACATCAAAATTTTTGTGTTCACTAGACACAAATTGTGTTAATTATAATGGAAGTGTGTGTATTGAGTGTAACTTAAATTATCACATTGTAAATGCTGGATGTGTTTCCAATAACAAAGAGTGCGTGATTCAAAACAAAGAGATTTGCATTGTGTGTGAAAACAAAAGTACAGTTGATGGAAAATGTGTTTCAACAGATTCAATTAATTGTAAAGAATTTGTTGGAAATGTATGTAAACAATGCGAAGACGATCATTACAAAGACACGACTGGGTGTTTGCCAATAGAAGAGAAATATTTAGATTGCGAGCATGTGAATGTTGTGTCATCGTCTTGTTTAGAGTGTAACAAATCCTTTGTTCTTGTCGACAATTCACGTGTTGAAAACGATATAAACAAAAACACAAACAATATACAATTAATAAGTGAAACTACAACTAACAACTGCATACTGAAGAGTTCAAAGGGGTGTTTGCGATGTAGTGATGGGTATTACATATTTAACTCACTTTGTGTAAAATGTGAATACCCATGCAAACATTGTTCCAATTTGACGTATTGCACAAAGTGTGATGCGTACTCGTACAGCAAGAATGGCAAGTGTTTTGAATACAATGAGTTATTAAATGTGTGTGATGTGATGATGTCGACATACGAAGGGTGTGTTGCTTGCAAAGACGGGTACATGCGATCTTCTGATGGCAAACAATGTGTTGGTTGTGACACGTCATGTGCGACGTGTTCCAATGATGGTGATTGTGTTATTTGCAGTGATGGATATTACAGAACACCAAATAACAACACAAAGCTGTGTAACACACAGACAGACTTGAACAACTGTTTGAACAAGACGACGAGTGGGTGTACATTGTGTGAAGATGGTTTTGCACTGAAAGACAATTTGTGTAACAAATGTGGTAAAAACTGCACATTATGTGATGCCACTTTTGAGTGTTCAAAATGTGGTGATAACAACATTCTGAAAGACGGCGTGTGTGTTCACTTCTCACAAATACCAAACTGCATCTCATCACAGAACTCTCTTTGTTGGGAGTGTGCAGATGGCTACAAGTTGAGTGCTGACAAAATCGAGTGTTTTGCAAACACGAATTATGGTGTGGTTGTTGGTCTTTCAGTAGTATGTGTTGTTGTGTTAGTTGTTATAATTATAGCAACAATAACAAGTGTTGTTTTGTTTTTGTTGAAAAAGAAAGACAACAAACACACAGAAGACATCTGTGTTTTCAAGATGAGTCGCTCTAATATCATGATGACTAAACTAGATGGCGACATTCTATCAAACAAAAATGAAATTTCATTTGGTGATGAAAGTGACAAAATTCACATCGAGAATGAAAGTCGTGAATTGTTGTGTGTTGGAAACTCGTCAAAAGGAAATGTGAAAATCCAAATCACAACAAAAGACAAATGCGACAAATACACAATTCGCACAGAACCACAAATAGTGACTTTAAAAAGCGGATTTGCATGTGAATTTGAAGTCTTTTTAACACCACTTTGCACTATGGATTTGAGTGATGAAGTTATGATCGTCTCACTTGATTTAAATAGTGGTAAACAAAACACGACTTTGATGAACATCAAAGCACTGGTGGAGCAATCAACACGTTTGGATTACGACGAAATTAAAACTGAAAAAAAATCGGCGAAGGGTCATTTGGTATTGTCTACAAAGGAACTTATAGAGGAAATGTTGTTGCAATAAAAAAAGATGAAACAAGTTGCCAACTCAAATGAAGAGAATACAGTTGATGAATATACAAAAGAAGTTGAAATGCTTGACAAATTTCGGAATGAATATATCGTATATTTTTATGGAGCCGTGTTCATACCAAATAAAGTATGTATGGTCACCGAGTTCGCACAATATGGAAGTTTACAAGATTTGATAAAACACAAAACATCTGACAAAGTTGACATGAAACTTCGAATTAAAATGATGTTGGACGCATCAAGAGGGATTTTGTATTTACATGAAAACGGAATTTTACACAGAGACATCAAACCAGACAATATTCTTGTGTTTTCATTGAATGAAAACGATAAAGTGAATGCAAAATTGACTGATTTTGGAAGTGCAAGAAATGTCAACTTGTTGATGACTAACATGACATTTACTAAAGGTATTGGCACACCAATTTACATGGCGCCTGAAGTATTAAAACAGGAAAAATACACAAAAAGTGCAGACATTTATTCGTTTGGTGTCACTATGTATGAAGTGTTTGATGGTGTAAAGCATATCCAATAGAGAATTTTAAGTTTCCTTGGAAAATAGCCGAGTTTGTGATGTCTGGAAAACGACTTGAAAGAAAAGAAAATATTACAGAAACTCTGTTTAAAGTGATTGAAATGTGCTGGCAACAAGAAAAGGCAAATAGAGCATCTATTGATAGAATAGTTAATTTACTCACTTTGTGATGGTAAAAGGACATCTCGTAACTTGGACAATTGGTAACTTCAACATAAAGTTCAAAAAATATATTTTTCGATGTTTTATTTTTATTTTTTTTATTAATTTTTTTTCTCGGCAAAAAATATTTAAGTATCCATTAAAAATAAAAAAGCCCAAATTGATATTCAAAAAAGTTTATAAATTTTTTATGTTTTCTTTGTTGAAAAAATCGAATTGTACAATAAACTATCAACCAAATGTTCATAGCGATTGATTAAAACACAATAATGTCTCGGTTAATATTCGTTACTTTGGAATGATAAATCGTTAATCTAAAAATATATATATTTATTATCGATATGTCAATTTCATCATCATATATTTAATTTGAAATATTAGACCAATGACGTTTCAGAAATGGACTCGACTCTTAATTATAGAATCATTTTCTTTTTGTCCATTACTTTTTGAATAATAAAGCCACATCATCACAATAACAATTCTTTAATTGAAAAACTCTGGAAATGCTTTTTCTTCCGATCATTTCCCGAAGAAACGTATCATCTTGCTTTGAAGTTTTCTTTAAGTTTCTCGTAGCAATCTTTTTGGGTGAATATATGACTTATCTCAAAATACAAGACTTGAGAAAGAAATTGAGGAAAAAGGGTAATAAAAGATTCTTATGAGTTGGGAAATTATCACAAAGATTGCTCTTTGTTTAAATGAGAATGCTCCTTTATCCCTCCACAATTCCCGTTTAATTTAAAGAAAAAATACCAAATAAAAAAATCTTTTTGGATTGAGTCAATTTTAATCATCACGAAAGTCTGCTTCAATTTCAGTCTCATCTTCTCCACTTTGATCTTTTCGGGCATTTCTGTGTTGCTCATTGATAAGAGCATTCATTTGAATTTGTTGTCTTCTTCGATAAATTCTGTTACTCTCTCGATGCAGCTTTCTTCTTTCTTCTATGCTGTTCATTAAATTGTCAACAATGTTTTGGTAATTAGCTGCATCTTCCGCAATAAGTGGGTTAATTTGGATATCAACATTGCAAAAACAACAGCAGAGAACAAACATGGCATCAAAATTTTCAAACGCTTTCACAAACTTTGTTCTTGCAAAAGCAAAGACGGTTTTAAGCCTTGTGAAGTATCTTTCAATAAGGCAACGTTTTCACGGAGAGGACTTGTTGTTGGGATAAACGAATTGGGAACATAAGCATCAATTTTCTTGTACCCTTTGTCACCTATCATCTTCTTTCCTCCCAGCATATGACTGATTTCCTGAGCCGTTTCTTTCAGAAGTTTCATATCGTGCTGTGTTCCTGGTTTTCCTTGAGAAACAAAAGCTGCTGTTCCGCTTTCTGCATTCACGATTACTTCCTCCTTAATGCAATATGCTTTGTACTTTCCACTGTAAAATATCATCGAAGAAGCGAAATCAGTGCTTGGTCGATTACAAGGAACCATTGTGCAATCGATAATAGCACTTACATTAGTGTTAAGGAGATTCTCGCCCTTAAATGTAATGAAAGAGTCTCTCATAATATGAAGGAACAGTTTTGAACTTATTATGATCTCTCTTTCTATTTGTTCATTGGTTTTAACAAAAGGAAGACACAGATCACGAATTATTCTTAATTTATCATACTTAAAGAACAAATAAAGAAGGAGGATGCGGTCGTCGGGATTGTAGAAGAATGACTTTTTTCCTCTTTTGTCCACAAACAAATCACTAACCACAGGTCTGATCATCAAGAATACCAACGGGTTTAGTCCAAGGAATGTAAAGAGTGGTTCAAGCCCGCCATATCTTTCGATTAGAACATTAAAGAAAAAGTGTGAAGTGGGAGATTGTGTCGTGTGTGTTGGTGGTTGAGTTGATTGTCTGGCGTTTTCAACCTCTTGGTCAATTTCCGTTCTTATGATCCCATTTGTTGGGACTCTTCGTGTGGTGTGTGTATTGGTAATAGACATGGGTTTTATTAGCAGTTACCCATTGATCTTTAAATTGTTATTTACATCAAAAATCAATGATGTAATTGTTATGTGTTGTCCAGTAAGCAATAATTTAAACCAAATAAATTATACAAAATCCAGTTTTGAAAGAGCGAATCATTGCGTTTTTATGTGTTCATATTCGCTTAGTCGCCATCTTTTTGTACAAAAAATAAATTATCACATGATACTTTTTCTTAGTTACTACTTTAGTTTATTAAGGCAAATATGACTTTGCTCAAATTCGTTGTTTTTTAAATAGTTTTGACTAATACCTCAAAATCATTGGTCTATTATGATGGATATGATATTTATTTCTGTGTTATCAAGAATTTTAATGAATTTGTCATTTTTTGAATAACTTAAATCAAGATATTCCAGTAAACAAATTGAGGGGCATGACAAAACTAAGCCACTTAACCTATACTTTATTATTCTATTTTTTAATAATAAAAAGTTTACTTATTTTTAATAGTAAAATATTTTACTTATATTAAAAATAATTAAAAAGAAATTAATAAAATAGATACCACATTTTAATGTTGCCTAATTTTTCACTTATGGCTGTTAACTCACTTCTTTACTAAAACTCACTTGTTATAAAAAAACTCACTTTAACTATTTGAAACTAAATATTTTTAATTTTATAATAAAAAGAAAAATAAGGATAGAAAAACTAAATAAACTATATTTATCGTTTAAATCCTATAAAAATAATTATAATTATATAGTAAAAAAATAAACTATATAGAACCACATTTAAAAAAAAGAAAAATAAGAAATACAATTAATGGTACACAATTTTTTCTTTTGGTAAAAAACAACATAAACTTGACATGTTCAAAATGAAATTTTTATCAAAAAATATTTACTACTAAAAAAAATTATAAATTTACATATTTAATTCATCTTTTTTATGGTTCTAATATAACATAATTTTTTATTTAAATTGTTTTTTTTGAAAGTGAAAAAATAAAAATCAAATCAATTAAAAATCAAATGATTTCACTTTCATCAAAAAGGAAACAGTCATCACTTTCAGTTGAATAGTTTATTTCTTCAACTCTATTCAAAATTTGGAGACATTTCTTTGCCGTTTTTGGCAATTTTGTTTCATCACCAATGGGGTCTCTCAAAGGTTTTAAAGAAATTAAATAGTTTGTTAGACCATGACAAATTTGAACTGAGAGTTTGTAAAGGGTTAAATTATTGTTCCAAACTGCATCCATTCTTGGAAAACAGGTGACCAAACGAGCAAAGTGATTTTCAACCACAATTCTACAACTCGAAATAAACGAGTTTCTAAGTTCAAGTAAGACTTTACCATGATAAACCTTCAATAACTGTCCTTTAAATTTGGTGTTATTGAATTGAGAGATTTCATTAAGCGACCCTTTTTTACAACACCATTATTGACAAACGAAAGTTCATTGTTGTCATCAATGTTGTAGTTTGTTTTAAATACACATTTGGAAAAACACACTTTATTTAAACCAGAGGTACTCTCAAACTTGCCATTAAACACACCTTGAACAATCAAACCAGAAAATCTTCCTTGTAATTTTTCTTGTAAACCTTCTACCTTCAATAACATGGTTGCATCGAAGCTGTATGTTTTTTCTTGGATGAAGTCGTAATTGGGTAAACACACTTGCAGCATCCAGCGTATCCCCCATCACCAAGAAACAATTTGTTTCCATAAAACAAAACATTTAACAAATCCAGTTTTACAGAAGTCGAGTCGTGTACTGATGCGGGTGTGGACTCTTGTACGTGGACTGCAAAACCATTTCTGTTGACAAAAATTTGTGTTCTCATTGAACTTGAATTACTTTTAAATGAGTAATACTCTTTTTGAATAACTTTGGAGACACGTTGAGTCGGTATTGGTTGGTCTCTACCATCCACAATGTAGTATGTGTTTTTTAATTTGGGTTCTATTTTTAAATATAATGGATTTTTTCTTACAGCGACGTGTTCTAATTGAGTTTCTGGTATATTTTGAACTGATAATATCAAAGATTTGTATATTTTTAGATGAAATTTAATTATGGCTTTAGTTAAATTATCCGAAATAAATTTTATTTTTGTGTTTTTATTTTTTGTTGTATCCATACCATAAAGGAGTTCATATAATTCAAAATGTGTCGTTTTTGTATGTAAAAATGTCAACATCAACACGGATTGTTCATGATATGCAAGTTTCGACTTTTTGTGTTGTTTAAAAAGTGTTTGATCAATTACTCCTTTTTGTTTGAACGTGTTTTCTTTTGTAAATGTGGCATTGCTAACAATAATATCAAATAGGTT